GGGATCTTGCATGCGCACGCGCCCTGCTTGAGTTTTAAGCCACCGGGTCTGGGACATGAACCGTGGTCTACTACATGGGAGTCCAGTGACATAGCCATTACGCTAACTGCTGGTCCCAATAGCCATATTAATTTCAGAACATTTTCAGGTACTTGCCGAGCTCCTGGCAACCACTAACCTTACTTTCTTTCTGTCTCCATGGATTAGCTTATCTGATCTTTCATAAAAATGGAATTATACAACAGGTGATTGTGTCTGTCTTCTTTCATTACATATACCAGTACCACACTGTCTGGATTACTGTAGCTATGTAGTACATTTTAGAATTGGGAAATGTTAGTCCTCCGGCCTTGTTATTTTCAAGGTGATTTTGCTCTTCTGGGTTCCTTGCATTTCCATATGAATTTTATGATGAGTTTGTCAATTTCTACAAAGAAGCCAGCTTGGATTTTTTTTTTTTAATTTAAGATTTTTGCTATGGGGCATGTACACTTGCTAGAAAGAGATAGAGAGAAAAAAGGTGAGAAATCATCTTCCAGAAGGAATAGCTATGCCACAGTCCCTTCTCCATTCTCCTCTTGGGATTTTGGGCATGCATGCATATGTGCCCAGTGTGATTTTTTTTTTTTTAAGCTACTGGGTCTGGGACTCAAATGTAATTGGCCATGTGGGAATCCAGCTCTAGCTGCTAGCCTGCTGCTAACCCCATCAGCCTGGATTTTGATAAGAATTTTCTGTAGGCCAGCAGGTAGTGTAGAGGTTAAGGTGGCTGGATCCCACATAACTGACCAGCAGTTCAAGTCCTGGACCCCGAGACCTGAAAAATATGACAAGTTCATGTGTGTGCATAGCAAAATCCTGAGAAAGGAATGGAAGAGAAGGAATTGCGGTGTGGCCATGCCCCCTGAGGGGGCAATTTCTCACTTTCCTTCTCTGTCTTTCTTCAGCGAATGGATACATCCTATGGCAAAACAAACAAACAAAACAACCTGAAGAATAAATGAATAAAATTTATTTGTTTGTTTGGTTCTGTATTTATTTTATCTGTGGTTCCTTAGGGGAGTGAGCATTGCCATGTTAACAATATTAAGCCTTCCATGTCATGAAAATGGAGTATTTTAGGTCTTCTTTTGTTTCTTTCCACAATGTTTTTGTTTTGTTTATTTATTGTTGCTACAGGGGATGTGTGCTCCCTGGAGAGACAGAGACAGAGAGAAAGTGAGAAATCACTCCCCAGGGGGAATGGCCACACTGCAAATCCTCTTCCATTCTGCTCTCGAGGTTTTGGGCACGAACGTACACTCATCTGGTGTGAGTTTAAGCCTCTGGGTCCAGGATTCAAACCCAGTCAATTAGTGGGAGTCCAGTGACGCAACCATTACGCCATCTGCTGGTCCCTCAATGTTTTAGTTTACAAAGTATGAGATGTAAACTTTTTTGTTAAATTGTATTTCTAAATATTTTTTCTTTGTGATGTTATTGTAGAATTGTTTTATTTTTCAACTGTTAATTCTTAGTGTATAGAGATACAACTCTTATTTTTTATATTCAAACTTGCCAAACTGGTTTATTCATTCTGTAGTTTTTAGTGATTTCCTTAGGATTTTTTATGTACGAGACCACGTTATCTACAAATAGAGATAATTTTACTTTTTTCTTTCTAATCTGGATGCCTGTAGTTAATTTTCTTATTAAAGTCATTGTACATCTTTTGAAGAAAGTGAAACTACTCCCTAGTTATATCTATGTAACTATTGTTGCATCTTACTATGTATCTTTCCAGATACTTCCCTGTACATATACGTGTGTGTGTATTTAAAAATTAAATTATATTGTATACTCTTAAAATCTGTTCCTCCAATTTAATGACATATCATAATGCCTTTTCTGTTCATAAATGAAAATATCTGGTGTTTTTTTGTTGTCGTTTTGTTTGTTTTTGCCTTTGAGGTTTTGCCATATGGAGCATGTGCTCACTAGAGACAGAGATAGAGAGAGGGCAAGTGAGAAATCACCCCCATGGGGGGTGTGGCCAAGCCACAGTTCCTTCTCCTCCATTTTCCTCCTGGGATTTTGGGCACACATGCACATAAACCTGCCGTAACTTTCAAACTTCTGGGTCTGGGATTCGAACCATGGTCCACGATGTAGGAAGGGATTCAGTATACCTTAACCACCACGCCAATTGTTGGCCCTATAGTTGGCAATTTAATGTCCGCATAGTATTCTGTTATAGACATTATTTATAGACATATCACTCATTCTTGGGCATTTTGTCTGTTTCCTTTTTTTTTCCCCAGAGGATGTGTGCTCTTGACAGTAAGAGAAAGTACTCCCCAGTGGTCATGCCATCATCCTTTTTCCTCTGTTTCTCCATGCCATCAGGATTTCTGGCTTGCATACACATGTGCCTGATGTGTTTTTCAAGCCACTGGGCTGGTACTTGAATCACAGTTGGCCATGCGGGATCCAGCTCTCAATATGTAAGCACTTAGCCACTGTGCTCTGGGCCAGCGCTGTTTCCATTTTGTTCAACCATACCATACTATATCATAATGCTTTTTTGAGAACATATGTTACTAAACATATGTATTTCATAATCCAAGTAACATGGAAACATTTTCTCAATTGTAGAACATTCAGGCGTGGTATACAGAGCAGTGTTTAAACCACCTTTTATATTCCTCATTCCACGGAAGGATCCACAGTGGTGGTTTGGTTTGCATTTCTCCTTTCCATGAATTTACATATATGTGTGTGAACATTTATGCCAGTATAGCTGTGTATCTTTTTTTTTTTAAAGATGCTTTTGCCTTGAGGCTAAAGGACACTGGACTCCCACATGGGCAACTGTGGTTCAAGTCCCAGAACTGGTGGCTTGCTTTCTCACTTTCTCTCTCTCTCTCTCTCTCTGGTCAAATTACAAGTATAAATAAATGAATAAAGTTAAATAATAATTATTTTTAAAAAAAGACATTTTGCCTTAGGGCATGTGTGCTTACTGGGGGGTGGGGAGAGAGAGAGAGAGAGGGAGACATTGAGAGAGAAAGTGAGAAATCATCCGTCAAGGGAATATGGGTGCTCACACACATGCACCTGGCATGATTTTGAAGCCACCAAGTCTGGGACTTGAACTGTGGTTAACCATGTGGGAGTCTAGCAACATAACCACTATACCATCTACTGGCCCCCGTATGTATCATTTTTAGCTGAATTGTTTGCATTAGGATAAATTTCCAGAAATAGATTTGTTAGGTCAAAGCATAAATGTACTTTAAGTCTTCTGATATAAACCACCAAATTGCTACTCAGTGAATTGGTGCAGCAATTTGCCCTCCTGCCAACAGTGTATGAGGCTACCTGTTAGTGTGAAATGAATTGAACTAGAAATTTTTTCACTAAGTAACATCTTTATTTCAGGTGTACTTGAAGGGGAGGTCTGGAGACAAGATGATCCATGAGAAGAATATCAACCAGCTGAAGAGTGAGGTCCAGTACATCCAGGAGGTGGGAACCCTTCCTTCTTGGGGAGTGCCTAGGTCATTTCTCTAAATCTCATTTTTTTTTTAGCTCTTTTCTTTTATGGGTTCTTATTTTTCCCAATGCTTCCTGTATACCTCTGAAGTGCCCCCTGCCCTCCCGTGTGTCAGATTTAAGTTTCTTTTCTTAGTATGTATGCTGCTGAAGCGAGCACGCAATTTCTTTTCGTAAGTGCATTTCTTCCTTTTTTCCATGAAAGGAAGTGAGATAGACAGAAATCCCCAACAAGGTCTTTATGCTGTGATTTACCCCTAGCCTCACACTGGCGTATATACCCAGCGTGCACCTGGAGTGCTCAGGATGTGAACCCAGGACCTTCCCATGTGAGTCTGGCATCACAGTGCATTGTATTACCACTGCACCACCACCTGGCCCTATATAGCATTTTGACTCTTTGGACCCCCATCCCTGAATCAGCAAATACTTATTAAATACCATGTACCTAGCACTCTCCAGCCATCCAATCTGAAATTTTCAGACACCTTCCCCACTGTCGTCTTTTTTTTTTTGATTTGCTATAGGATGCATGTGTTCACAGAGAGAGCATGTGTGCACACTCCCAGGGGAGATGGCCACACCACAGTCTCTTCTCTTCCATTCTCATCTTAGAATTTGGGGCGTGCCTGGCATGTTTTTCAAGCTGCTGATATAGGACTTGAGTTTTGCCATTGCCATGTGGGATCCACCCACTTTAAGCACCACACCGCCTGCGGGGCCCCCCACCATCTTCTGCCTGTCTCCCTGGTCATGGTTCTCCTTGGCACTTAATCTCCATAGAACGTACTCCACATTTTACTTGTCTTTTTTTTTTTTTTTTTTTTGAAGAGGTTTTCGCTATAGGGCGCATGTGCTCACCAGACAGACAGAGAGAGACATAGAGACAGAAAGCGAGAAATCACCCCCCAGGGGGGATGGTCATGCTGCAATCCCTTCTCCATTCTCCTCTCGGGATCTTGGGCACGCATGCACACGTGCCCGGCATGAGTTCTAAGCCACCGAGTCCGGGACGCGAACCACGGTTGACTACATGGGAGTCCAGCGACATAGCCATTACACTAACTGCTGGTTCCCCACATATTACTTGTCTTTTTGTGTTGTGTGTTTCCCCAGCTAGGACACTGGTATTGCTTGGACAGAGGTTTTTTGTTTTTTGCCAGAGGACATATACACTCCCAGAGAGAAAGATAAATACCCCTCGGAGTGTGGTCACCACAATCTTTTTCCCTCCATTTCTTCCTATCAGGATTTAGGGCTCACACACACATGCACCCTGTGTGGACAGAGGTTTGTCACTTGTGTAAGAGGGACTGGGCTGCAGCCCCACTTAACCACTGCTACTCCGTCTCACAGCCAGCACTGAGAATAGTATCTGACTTGTAGTAGTGCAGGTTGGGAGGGCACGACGGGGGGTGA